TGTGTGTGTGTGTGTGTGTGTGTGTGTGTGTGTATGTGTGTGAGAATAATATAACTTTTGTGGTCGTGTTTATCTCCCACCCTTCAGGGAAATTGAGATACTGGCACGTACACTTAAAGAATTCACTGACCTGGTTGGACATTGCAGTTCGATATTTGCAGTTTGAATTAAGATTTATTTTCAGTGCGTTGGTTTAAGGTTTAAATGGTATCTTCTTTAGAAATGTATTTGAGTTAATAATTTAGGCGACGTCCTCTTCCGTTTCACAATGTCTCCAAATAATTCCAGGCGTTTTATTAAACTTGTGTATTCTGATCATTTGCTGCTTGCAGGTAGTGAACTGTTAATAAATGATTGCCCACGACAAATATAAACACTTGTTTTGTTCATAGATCATCTGGTTTGAGGGTCAAACACCTGACTGTGTAATATCTAACTGTTATTATCATTATGCAATTTACGCGAATGTTACACAATCTGCTGGAGCAGATTTGAACCTGCCATTGAAAGATTTTGAGAAAAGAGAGGATGGTAGTCATGGAGCACAATTTCACATATCTAATGTGTTAATAAAATGTTTGCTATCTATTTGTAAAAACTACTGCAGGATCCAATATTGCGAACTGGATTTTATGATTTAGAGTTTAGGATGTTATACCTCGTCTTCAGCTGAATGTATTCATGAAGATAACGTTGAATAAATGCAAACTTATTGACTGAAGTGTAGGATTAATTCAGTTTGTTTACAAGCCACGAAGAATTTCTTTGTAAATATAACTTTTTTTTTGCCAATACTTGAACGCAAATTAACACTAAAGGAGAATGATCTGAATGTATTGATCTTGTTCATTTTGTGTAATTTTAGTAAAAAGAGATTAAAACAGACAACAATCCGATTAAGTTGAACATATGGAATTACGAATTACGTAATTTAATAAGTAATATATACGTTTTACGTTTGCTATTAATAATGATCTTAGAAAACACGTTATGTGGAAATATTAAGTTTGTTGTGTTCCTCTCGTGTTCTATATTCATTTTTTTTTAAATCGTCACTTCATTGAATTAGAAATTTTAGTATAGGATGGCATATTTCTATATTGTCTTTATGATGCTGTAGAGGGCGTTGTCTGTTGCTGTTGAAGTTTTTCTTTTTATGCCCTATGTAGGCCTGCATATATAGTCGTGTTTATTTTTGATTTATTAATTATTATTATTATTATTATTATTATTATTATTAAATATGTGCCCTAGAAAACTGGACTCGTTTTTTTCACATTCTACGTAAATATTTGGTTGTGCCAGGCCAAGTTATTTAATGTGCACGATAAATGTTAAATCCAAGTTTAGACATTTAATATCAGACCTATGAAAGTTTTTGCAGTTTCAAAATCGAACTCTTAGTGTCGCTGTTCACCAGTGCAACCGTTGACCTTCACATTACTGTTTCTCTCCACCCTGTTCATGATGTCATATACAGGACTGACATCTCAGCTCGTTGTAGGAAGTCGTCGATGGTGAGCGGTGCCTCATCTATAATTCTTTTGTATCGACCACGAACTAGATTCAGTTTTTTCAATTCCATATACACGTGGATAACGTGGTTACTTTTGTCTTCCTTTCCACGTAGATATCGAAACCTTTTGTGTTGTTGCTGAAATGGTTGGATTTTTCTTTGTTGTGCTGATGGCGCACACCGCTTATGGAGACGTGAGCTATTCTTTTCCGGAGGAGATGAAACGCGGATCTGTGATTGGAAATATAGCAAAGGATCTCGGGCTCGATATGGACAAACTATCAAGTCGAGAGGCACGAATTGATAATGGAGATAACCGACAACGATTCAGTGATATTAATCTAAATACCGGAGAACTGACTGTAGCGGAGAGAATCGACAGAGAGCAGATTTGTGGAAAGAAAGCTTCATGTGTTATTAAACAGGAGCTCGTGCTGGAAAATCCTTTAGAGCTGCAACGATTTATTCTCAATATTCAGGACATAAATGATAATTCACCACAATTCAAACAAAGTGTGATCAAATTCGAAATAAGGGAGTCTGCAGAAAAAGGATCTCGTTACTTATTAGATGAGGCCTACGATGCGGATACTGGTATGAATTCGGTGCAATCATATGTGATACAAGACAATGAACACTTTCTTCTTAGTGTACTAACGCGTGAAAATGGAAGAAAATATGGAGAGCTAGTTCTTAATAAAGAGTTAGATCGTGAGCAGCAGAAAGAGGTAACATTAATTCTCACTGCGGTAGACGGCGGGACTCCACCGAGATCAGGTACTGTAGCCATACACGTCACTGTGCTGGATGCTAATGATAATGCTCCAGTCTTTAGTCAGGCCGTCTATAAAGTCAGTCTGCCTGAAAATTCTCCTCTAGATACTGTAGTGGTGACAGTGAGCGCTACTGATGCTGACGAGGGACAAAATGGAGAAGTGACATATGAGTTTGGTCATTTATTAGAACGCCTTATGGATACATTTTCTCTCGACTCGTTGTCTGGAGAAATTAAATTAACAGGGCTCATTGATTATGAGGATGAGAGTTCAATTGAACTGCCAGTTCAGGCCAAGGATGGTCAAGGATTAGCCAGTCATTGTTCTGTATTAATTTATGTTATTGACGTCAATGATAATGCCCCTAAAATAATGAGTAAATATGTTAAAATATCCATTCCTGAGAATGCGTTACCCGGTACAGAGGTTGGCATCGTTAATGTGCAGGACAGAGACTCTGATAATAACGGACAGGTGAGCTGCTCCATTCAGCAAAACGTCCCATTTAAACTCGTACCTTCAATCAAATACTTATATTAGATAACTTGGCTGAAGTTCCGGAACTGAAAGACATGTCTCGCGACGAGAGCAGCTCCAAACTGACGTTTTATTTGATCATCGCGCTGGTGTCCGTTTCCACTTTCTTCCTGACCTTCATCATCATCATCCTCGCCATGAGGTTTTGTCGCAGGAGAAAGCCCAGACTGTTGTTTGATGGAGCTGTAGCCATTCCCAGCGCGTATCTTCCTCCAAATTACGCAGAGGTGGAGGGCGCGGGAACTCTCCGCAGCACTTACAATTATGACGCATACCTGACCACGGGCTCGCGCACTAGTGACTTCAAGTTCGTCAGATCTTATAATGAGGGCACGCTGACTGCTGACCTGACTCTGAACAAGACTCAGTCCTCAGTGGATGATCTTGAAGGACTCGATGCGGAAATGAACGATCCGTTTCAGGTAGGGCTAACAAAGTGTTTATCGTTTAGTTAATGGTCTGGGCTTCCATATGAAGTGTATTTGTGTTCAAAGTTTACCGCTTTGATTTGCAGCAGGCTCTTAAAAATGTCACGTATCGCAAGTCTTAAAAGAAGAATTTGCCCCTTTTATTTATTTGTTTTTTTTTAATGCATTTGAAAATAATTTTAGTGTTTTCTCGTTTTCAATGACTTTTAACGATCTGATGTGGAAAAAAATGGTAATTTTATTATCGGTTGTTTTACTGTTCTTGCGATTTTCTCATATATTGACTTTACTTTTTTTTAGCTTGCCTGTTTTTTGTTTTTTTTGTTTTTTTCCAAAATGAGCGGCGTTCATAGAGGTTAGGTTCATGTTTCTTTATAAAAGGGATGTATATGTAGAATGTTACTAGATTTTTTTTGGTGAAAACTTTTTCCATTTGGGATTAATGCCTTGTTTTCAAACGGACTAACGTAATTTGCAGATCATTTAGAGAGTTTTTAAAACTTTTCTATCGTGGAACTTATTTAAACTTTGCATGTTAATTTGAGTGTCCGCTTAATTTCTGTGGTTCTTTCTGATTTTTCAGTAAATCAGTGAGAAAATCTGTAATTATTTATATTTAGGATAAAGCAAGTGTTTTCACATCTGTTTCGTCGTTGTGTCCTTAATATGAAATTATTTCTTTAGTAGCTTCATTTACGTATAGACTTCATTGCACAAACTTTTGAAACTTGTGTGGTGTGCACTTGCGTGTGGAAATTGATTTATTTTTAATGTTGCTGTCCATGGTGCTGCTCAAGTAATGTGTGAATCGCGTTTCCCCCTCTCATACCTTGTAACTCTCTATGAAGCAGTGGGTTTTAGGAATACCCTAAAATTGGTTTTCTTGATCCTCCAAAATAGAATGTTAACAGTCAAAAACTCTTGATGTTTTAAAGTCAGTACCGTGATCGTTGCTGTTCAGTCATACTACCGTAACTTATTCCTTCTAGAGCACTGAATATGCAGTTTCTTGTTTAAACACTTAGAGTCGCTGTTCACCTGTAATATCATTGACAAAAACATTGTTCTTGTCTCCACCCTGTTGGTGATGTCATTATCAGTGCTTCTAGATCGTTTTTATGGAAAATCGTAGACGCTTACGTTTTTTTCCAGTCTTTTGTGTATTATTGTAGATGTAATATTCAGATTTACGTTTTGTATTGCATCTTGTCTAAAGCATATTTCCAAATGGATTTTCAAAGCTTCTGGCTTAATCATCAGATGTTTGCCTTTTTGTTCTTCGTGCTGATGGCGCACACCGCTTATGGAGACCTGAGCTATTCTTTCCCGGAGGAGATGAAACGCAGATCTGTGATTGGAAATATAGCAAAGGATCTCGGGCTCGATGTGAACAGACTGTCATCTCGTAAGGCTCGCATTGACACTGAAGGTAACAGAAAACGATACTGCGACATTAATCGGAATACTGGAGAACTGATCGTAGCGGAGAGAATCGACAGAGAGGAGATTTGTAGTGAGGGGCTTTCCTGTGATCTTAATTTTGAATTAGTTCTAGAACACCCACTGGAGATACACCGTGTGTCAATACAAATTCAGGATATCAACGATAACACACCGACCTTTCCCAAAGACACAATAAAGCTTGAGATAAGTGAGATATCTGGTAAAGGCGCTCGGTTCCGCGTGAATGAGGCGCATGATGCGGACATAGGACAGAATGGAGTACAAAGCTATTCGATTGAAAAGAATGACCATTTTCTTTTATCTGTGCGTACAAAGGCGGATGGTGGCAAAAATATCGAGTTAGTGTTAGAAAGAGAACTGGATCGTGAGCAACAAAAACAACTGACATTAATTCTCACTGCGGTAGACGGCGGGACTCCACCGAGATCAGGTACTGTAGCCATACACGTCACTGTGCTGGATGCTAATGATAATGCTCCAGTCTTTAGTCAGGCCGTCAATAAAGTCAGTCTGCCTGAAAATTCTGCTCTAGATACTTTAGTGGTGACAGTGAGCGCTACTGATGCTGACGAGGGACAAAATGGAGAAGTCACATACGAGTTTAGTCGAATTTCGAAAAATGGCAACGTACTATTTTCTCTAGATCCAAACAATGGGGAGATTAAAGTTAAAGGCCCCATTGATTTTGAGATGGCATCAAGGTATGAAATGCTTATTGAGGGAAAGGATGGCTCTGGTCTTTCATCGGACACTAAAGTAATCATAGAAATTACAGATGTTAATGATAATGCCCCATTATAGTGATTAAGTCTTTAAATAGCCCCGTTCCCGAGAATGCGTTACTCGGTACAGAGGTTGGCATCATTAATGTGCAGGAGATCATCGCGCTGGTGTCCGTTTCCACTTTCTTCCTGACCTTCATCATCATCATCCTGGCCGTGAGGTTTTGTCGCAGGAGAAAGCCCAGACTGTTGTTTGATGGAGCTGTAGCCATTCCCAGCGCGTATCTTCCTCCAAATTACGCAGAGGTGGAGGGCGCGGGAACTCTCCGCAGCACTTACAATTATGACGCATACCTGACCACGGGCTCGCGCACTAGTGACTTCAAGTTCGTCAGATCTTATAATGAGGGCACGCTGACTGCTGACCTGACTCTGAACAAGACTCAGTCCTCTGTGGATGATCTTGAAGGGCTTTATGGTTTGAGCATTCCTTTTTCCGAGGTAGGCGTTTTCATTTTGTCCTTAATGGTTTTATATGGTTCTTAGGGCGTCTGTGCTTAAATGCCCTTGTTTTTAGAGTCCCCCTGTATTGTGAATTTGACTCTTATGCTTTTAGTCTACCCAAACTTTTTTCTTGTTTATTTTAACTTTTGTAAGGAAATAAGGAACAAATACTTTGTACTTTTCCTGAGGAACTGTTCCTTGGAAAATATTATTTCCATTAATATGGTATTCTGATTCGCAATTTGTAATTAACAATCGTTTCAGTAATTAATTATATAATTTCGGTTATCAGAGAAATTGGAAATCACAGGCACAGCAGTTCACATTTATGCCAGGGCAGCAGAGTTGCATTTTGTTATTTATAGAGAAGGGTTATTTATTTTAATTGATCATCATACTATATCCATTTAAAGTGTTTTTTTTTTGTTTTTTTTTGTGCCCATAAAATCTTTTAGGGCATGTGATAAATGTTTTTATAGAATGAAGATTTACATTTCCAAGATTCCGTGAGGTCAAATGAGTCAAATTGAGTAATCAACCATATGTATACATCTGTATAACGTGATGGAAAAACCTCCTTCTGATTAACAGATTAAGTGATTATATAGTAATTACAGTGAAAACAAATCTTAGTTTCATCATAGAATGATGACATTTCATCATGACATTACAGACTCTGGTGGGGAAGAATTTGCCTGACCTTCACAAAGTCCAAACCTGAAACCCTATTGAACACCTTTTGTAACAGTGTATCTGGACCCATCACCAAACATCAGTGCCTGACCTCAGTAATGCTTTTGTGTCTTGCTGAAAGTTTATTTTTGAAAGCATTATTCCTTCCCTTTGCTGCTATGCCAGCTCTTCTGGGAAGACCTTTCATTAGATGTCATTGTCAAGTTCTACTACAGTCAGATTCTTCTACACCATACATATACAGGAATGATAAAGGGCCCTGCCTGCCACATGGACATCAAAGATGAAATGTAAACATTAAATCACCATTTGTTCTAAGTTTTTGGTGCCTTACAGTCAAAACTGCACTAGGATATTGCTCTTCATTTAAGGTGTTTGCTGTTGTTTTTCATGTTTGGACCAGGTATGATTCAACCATCTACTCCAGTGTTATTAAATTTTATAAAAATATCACACTTGTTATTATACCGAGTTGTTTACGTTATTACTGCCATTTGTTTTTACAGTGGGTTGCTGGAATCTCATATGTTTGTCTATTAAGTTGTTTTATTTAGACATTTAAATCACTTGACCCTAATGTTGCTTTGTTGCTGCTGTTTTTAGTTCTTCGTTTTTTTTCTTCTTCCCCATAACGTGATAGGTTCTCTTTTAACCAGTATGTGTGCTTGTCAGACTCGTGTTTTCATGTTCAGATATGTAGCCATAAAAGTAAATTAGTGGTGTTTTGCACAGAAGTATAATGTAGCCTTTTGTTTCCTTTCATGATGCATTTTGTTTGTATGTGAGTTTGCCATTAGGGATTTAAGTTTATCCATACACTGTGATGGAATTTCAAGCAATATTAAAATATTTCGTTCTCCTGGAACTTTAATGCCTCTCTGTAATAACTTATTTCAAATACATTAGTATTGCTGTTCATGGTGCTGAAGTACTGTACTTGCTTACCGCATTACTGCATATAGTAGCTCTCGATATATATACACTGTAAAAAATGCTGGGTTAAATGCAACCCAGCGCTGGGTGAAGTATGGACAAACCCAGCAACTGGGTTGTTTTGACCTAGCGGTTGGGTTAAATTTTTTAACCCAACCTTCTGGGTAGTAACCCAACCACTGGGTCAAAGCAGCCCAATAGCTGGGTTTGTCAATTTTTACCCAGCGCTGGGTTGTATTTAACCCAGCATTTTTTTAGAGTGTACGATACATATTGCTTCCTATATTTTCTGTAAACAGCAGACCATGTATTTATAGAGGAAGTGGTTTAACGGAATATACAGCCAGTCTTCCCTACAGCCTCATGGTGTCGCTGTATACCTTTGTAGCAAAGACAAATATTATTCTCCCACCCACTTTCTCATTTATAAAAGGCTGTTTGTTGCAGAGAAGAGAGATCAGTCGACATTGTATATTTTATTTGTTTGCTAATTCGAGGTTTCCCACTGATTTTGGCACCTTTTTGGTCTGCACTATTTCACGTTTGTTCACGCTGGATGAGACTGTTTGAGAATGAAGAGAAACGCAGGATTTGTTATAGAGCTTTCGCTCTGCTTTTATGTCATGATGGCGCACACCGCTTATGGAGACGTGAGCTATTCTTTCCCGGAGGAGATGAAACGCGGATCTGTGATTGGAAATATAGCAAAGGATCTCGGGCTCAATGTGAACAGACTGTCATCTCGTAAGGCTCGCATTGATACTGAAGGTAACAGAAAACGATATTGTGACATTAATCTGAATACTGGAGAACTGACCGTAGCGGAGAGAATCGACAGAGAGGGGCTTTGCGGAAAGAAAGCATCATGCGTTCTGAAACAAGAACTTATGCTTGAGAATCCTTTAGAATTGCATCGAATTAGTTTACACATTGATGACATAAATGATAACTCTCCACATTTTGACGAGGATGTTATCAGAATGGAAATCACGGAATCAGCGGACAAAGGAGAACGGTTTTTGCTAGGGGAAGCGCACGATCCGGATATAGGAAACAATGCAGTTATGTCTTATACTTTGGAAAGCAATGAAAATTTCGTTTTATATGTTAAATCAAACGATTTAGCAGGGAAATACTGTGAACTGGTATTAAATAAAGAGTTAGACCGTGAGCAGCAGAAAGAGGTGACATTAATTCTCACTGCGGTAGACGGCGGGACTCCACCGAGATCAGGTACTGTAGCCATACACGTCACTGTGCTGGATGCTAATGATAATGCTCCAGTCTTTAGTCAGGCCGTCTATAAAGTCAGTCTGAATGAAAATTCTCCTCTAAAGACTGTAGTGGTGACAGTGAGCGCTACTGATGCTGACGAGGGACAAAATGGAAAGGTCTCGTATGCATTTGGTCATGTTTCGGAAGAAGATAAGACCTCATTCTTACTGAATCGCAACACTGGAGATATAACTGTTATTGGATCAACGGATTATGAGGAGAAATCGGTGTATGAGTTGCGTGTTTTAGCAAAAGATTCTGCAGGTTTAACCTCGTACTCATTGGTAATAATAGAAATTACAGATGTTAATGACAATGCACCGGTGATCATTAATAAATCTTTGAATATCCCCATTCCTGAGAATGCGTTACCCGGTACAGAGGTTGGCATCATTAATGTGCAGGACAGAGACTCTGAGAATAACGGACGGTCTTCCAGCTCACATCGTAGGAAAAATCGTAGACATTGTGACTCTCCAATCTTTTTTAGCATCTCATTTCCTAAATGTAGTTCACACCTATGTTGATTTCATATCAAGTCATTTTTGTTTTCTTTTTCCCCGATATGAATGTTAGAGGCATCGGTGTTGCTGGTGAGATGTTTGGCCTTTTGTTCTTCGTGCTGATGGCGCACACCGCTTATGGAGACGTGAGCTATTCTTTCAGGACGCAGCGGGACATTTCTGAATCTGACAACATGAAACAGAACCTCATTGTGTCCGTGAGAGATAACGGACAGCCCTCTCTCTCAGCCACGTGCGCATTATATTTACTTATATCAGATAACTTGGCTGAAGTTCCGGAACTGAAAGACATGTCTCGCGACGAGAGCAGCTCCAAACTGACGTTTTATTTGATCATCGCGCTGGTGTCCGTTTCCACTTTCTTCCTGACCTTCATCATCATCATCCTGGCCGTGAGGTTTTGTCGCAGGAGAAAGCCCAGACTGTTGTTTGATGGAGCTGTAGCCATTCCCAGCGCGTATCTTCCTCCAAATTACGCAGAGGTGGAGGGCGCGGGAACTCTCCGCAGCACTTACAATTATGACGCATACCTGACCACGGGCTCGCGCACTAGTGACTTCAAGTTCGTCAGATCTTATAATGAGGGCACGCTGACTGCTGACCTGACTCTGAACAAGACTCAGTCTGTTGAGAATATAATGGATGACCTTGGCAATAAAGTTGAAACTTCCCAGGTACACTTTAAGTAATGATTGTGCATTATAAAGCTGATTACTGTTTTTATTATTATTATTTATTTTTATTTTTCAAATATTAAGGTGTTTCCCTATAGACAGGTAAAAGACTATATATATTTCCACACCCCATTTTGCTTGTATTTAATTGTATTAGCATTTTCTGACAGAGAAAAGAATAGAGAAAACTTTTATCGTGTTGAACTTAAGAGTCTTGGCTCATCAGTTAGCTTGTAGGTGTTTTTTATTGTCAGTTAGGTTCCAGACTAAATTAGGCATTCGGTGCAACTGTCAGTACATTAAGCCACGTTAAGTGTTTGTTTGTTTTACTTGTCTCTCTGTAGCTGTTTTCTATTATGATGCCATTGTATTGACTGTAGCTAGTGCTTCTGACTAGGAAAATGTGAGAGAGAATTGGTTCTCCCATGTCGTTTAGTACATTTAAGACGATTGTTCTCTCCTGAAATGTGACGCTTCGTTTCAGTATGTCTATCATTTTGAGGTGGTATTGTATTTCTCGATAGAACATTGAGGGAAATATTTTAGATAACTATTTTCTCTCTGAAAAGGTAAAATATCAAAATGTGCTGTGGGGAAAACATCAGTTAGGCTATTTTAAAGGCATAATGTTACAAAGTATTAAATACAATTGCAGTATTGTGCATGTATTGTAGCATAAAATACAAAATGTCAGATTTTTTTTCCTCACGGTGTCGCTGTGCACCTGCAAAGTAAAGTGGTTGTTATTTCTCCACCCTGAAATATTGCTATTCCCCTTTGTACTGTCGCTTATTATTGACGCCATATACATGTTCGGGAGCATTCGCTTAAGTAGGCCTATGTGCTGAAACTTCGGAGTATTTTATGGGACAGGATATATTTAACCAAACATATTCATCATTCTCAAGCGAAAATGAATAACAAGTGGACGTTATTGGTTTCTTTTAGTCTGCGGGGTTTTCTCTTCTCCTCCATTGTGTTGCACACCGCTTATGGAGACGTGAGCTATTCTGTTCCGGAGGAGATGAAACGCGGATCTGTGATTGGAAATATAGCGAAGGATCTCGGGCTCGATGTGAACACACTGTCATTTCGTAAGGCTCGCATTGACACTGAAGGTAACAGAAAACGATACTGCGACATTAATCTGAATACTGGGGAACTGACTGTAGCGGAGAGAATAGACAGAGAGGGACTTTGTGGAAAGAAAGCTTTGTGTGTTATAAAACAGGAGCTGGTTTTGGAAAATCCTCTTGAATCTCATCGCATTAACATAAACGTTCAAGATGTAAATGACAATACCCCTGTCTTTAAAAAAGATATAATCAAATTTGAGATCACAGAGTCGGCTGTAAAAGGTGCTCGTTTTTTGCTCGAGGAGGCTCACGATGCAGACAAAGGGACTAATTCGGTTCAAACGTATAATTTAGGGCAGAATAAATATTTTGAATTGGCTGTTGCTGCAAAAGCACCAGGGAAGATGTATGGCGAGCTAGTACTTAATAAAGAATTAGATCGTGAACAACAACAGGAAGTGACTTTAATTCTCACTGCGGTAGACGGCGGGACTCCACCGAGATCAGGTACTGTAGCCATACACGTCACTGTGCTGGATGCTAATGATAATGCTCCAGTCTTTAGTCAGGCCGTCTATAAAGTCAGTCTGCCTGAAAATTCTCCTCTAGATACTGTAGTGGTGACAGTGAGCGCTACTGATGCTGACGAGGGACAAAATGGAGAAGTGACTTATGAATTTGGCCATATTTCAGAAAGTGACATGATGGTTTTTTCACTCGACCCAAGTAATGCCAGAATTACATTAATAGGGTCTCTTGACTATGAGGACGAGTCATCCTTTGAGCTTCCAATTCAAGCCACAGATGGACTGGGGATGGTATCTCATGCAACTGTTGTTATTGAGATATCTGACATCAATGATAATTCCCCAATTATAGTAATTAAGTCACTGAATAGCCCGATTCCTGAGAATGCGTTACCCAGTACAGAGGTTGGCATCATTAATGTGCAGGACAGAGACTCTGAGAATAACGGACAGGTGCGCTGCTCCATTCAGCAAAACGTCCCGTTTAAACTTGTACCTTCAATCAAAAATTACTATTCTCTGGTGACCACAGGTGAATTAGACCGCGAGCTGCTCTCTGATTATAATATTACAATTACTGCTACTGATGAGGGCTCTCCGCCTTTATCTTCCACTAAGAATATTCACCTGACTGTAGCTGACGTGAATGATAATCCACCTGTATTTCAGGAGCAGAGTTACAGAGCTCATGTGCAAGAAAATAACAAACCGGGCTCCTCTATTTGTTCAGTATCAGCTACAGACCCGGACTGGAGACAGAATGGCACTGTAGTTTATTCTCTGTTGTCCTCTGATATCAATGGCGCACCGGTGTCCTCCTTTCTAGCCATTAACGGAGACACCGGGGTCATTCATGCCGTGAGGTCAAAGACATGTCTCGCGACGAGAGCAGCTCCAAACTGACGTTTTATTTGATCATCGCGCTGGTGTCCGTTTCCACGTTCTTCCTGACCTTCATCATCATCATCCTGGCCGTGAGGTTTTGTCGCAGGAGAAAGCCCAGACTGTTGTTTGATGGAGCTGTAGCCATTCCCAGCGCATATCTTCCTCCAAATTACGCAGAGGTGGAGGGCGCGGGAACTCTCCGCAGCACTTACAATTATGACGCATACCTGGCCACGGGCTCGCGCACTAGTGACTTCAAGTTCGTCAGATCTTATAATGAGGGCACGCTGACTGCTAACCTGACTCTGAACAAGACTCAATCCGCCGATGATCTTAATGATTTTGCCGAGGGAATAGAGAATGTTTCTCAGGTATGTTTTTATCTTTAAATATTTCATCTTTTCGGCAGTTCGACTTGTTTGTATTCTTGCTTTGGCTCAAAAGGGATTTTGTTTGTTTTGTTAGTTTGTGAAGCCTTTAGAATTTTCTATATTTCTACATAAATATGACACAAAATATCATCAGATAAACAAAGGAGATACAGATATTTTCTTTGTCATTTATTTATTGAGAAAAACAATCCATTATTACATATCTTTGCTTTCAGTATCTGGTGTGACTCCATTTTGCAGCTATTACTGCAGGTAAAGTTTCTTGTAACTGCTGATCCGTCCTGGGCTGGGTTTCTCAATAACGATGGACCTTAGCCCTAAAGAGCGCTCTCTACTTGCGAGGTTACGAACGCTCGCCGCAATTCCACGTGCGTTTCCCAAAAATGCACTTAACATGAACGCGCGAGAACGCGTTCTACGTGCTACTTAAGAGTCGCTGTCCGTTTGTCAAGTGCTAAAATATTACCTTATAGAATCGTATCCTTGAACCGAATAGTCGTCACCTGATGTGGATTAGAAATAAAATTCCTTTAAAAAATATGAAATTAATGTTCTTATGGAGGAGGTAGAGCGAAACAAACATGTAATTTTCAGCAGATTTAAAGGACACCACACAAATAAGGAAAAACAAAACATGGGAGGACTTTGCTACAAAATTAACTGCAACCAGGGGTGTTAAGAGATCAGGGAAGGAGGTCTGCAAGAAGTGGCAGGACTCTGCAAGCCTGGAAAAAAGGAAGGGCACTGCAGAGGATGGCAATAAAAAAACAGGTGGTTGGACCAATGACTCTCCCCTTCTTCTCACAGCAGAGGAACAAAAGGCCTTGTCAATACATCAGATGGCATGTATGGTGGTATTGACCTCCATGGAGGAGTAGGGATGCCTCAACCTGAGCCTGAGTCAGGTCCTTCATGCTCAGAGGACCTATCAGTTTCACCTGCCATCTCCCAGCACCAACCATCTCCTAGTCCTCCAAACAACCCTCACAGGCCTCAGCCTCCATCTTCAGTTGTCCAGACCGCAGCCACAACACCTCAGCAGTTTGAGAATGTCTGTGGTTGTAGTCAGTGCAGCTGGAGATATGTCTTGAAAGACATTAGACAATGTCTTAAAGAGGCCAGTAAGAGGAACAACAATTTTCAACAGCAGCTCATTGACTGAAATCAAGAAAAACATGTTGATTCAAAGTTTTTGATGGCCATGTGTTTGCTGAACCACCCAAGGCCTAAGACCCTATGAAATATCATAAGAATTCTTATGAGTTCTTCCAAGTGTTTCTGAAGTGAATGACTAATGGTTGATGGTTATTTTCAAACATAAACTTGTAAGGTTAGATATTATTAATATATAAAGTGTATATATTAAGGGTGATAGTAGCACAAATATTTGTACTTGATCTAGCCAATACAAACAGGTACAGACAAAAAAGTTTATTGCAAACATGTTTTATCAGCACTGTTCTATGTATACATATTTATGTATATTTGTATTTTTTCATTTTATTTCCTTTTCTTTTTAATTATTTCATTTTTTTTATTCATTTAAACAATAAAAGAGTAATAAAGAGAAGTACAATCAAAACCTTATATGCACTTGAATAAAGTTAAAGCAGGTGACCTCATAACTCTTCTTATGATGCACTTCGGGCTTTAAGATTACTCCAGAGCACTTGTAGATCTGCGATGATTTTCAAGTGCTACTTAAGTTACGATGACGACGGTTCCATCTTTTACCTCCTCTGGAATAGAGTATCTTATCTGAGCTGAAACATGTTCTCCGAAGTACAGCAGAAAAGAGAAACACAAAGCGATCCACCAGCACTCCCATCTGCTCCTTTGTCCTTCGTGTTCCATCATGATTCAAACGCTTATCAAAAAACTAATTATTGTTGCTCGTGTGATTTCTTCATGAGCAAAATCTCGGAGATGTTATAAAATGTCAATTTTTTTTCAAACAATTCACCATAATCCACGCAGACAACAATGTATCCAAGGTTTCAACAACAACAGAATTGCGCTTTTTGTGGAAAGGAACAACGGTGTGACGTCTCGAAGAGGAGGGACAGTATTTAAAAAGGTTTCCTTGTATAATACTGACACCATGAGGCTAACTGAGAATATAGCCGATAATAAAGAAATTCAGGGATAGGAAACATTAGAATCCACCTGCCAATGCATGTATCAGACTTCACTCGCTTTAAAGCAAATCATAATACAACTAACCAGGGCTGCGTTTCTCAAAAGCATCGTAAGCCTAAGTAGATCGTAAAAGCCCGAAGCCCGAATTTTAGTATAACGGTCTGTTTCCCAAAAGCATCGTAACTTAATTTGCACTTGAAAATCATCCCAGATCTACGAGTGCTCTGGAGTAATCGTAAAGCCCGAAGTGCATCTTAAGACAAATGTTATGAGGTCACCTGCAGGACAACCAGCATCAGTTTCACCTGCCATCTCCCAGCACCAACCATCTCCTAGTACTCCAAACAACCCTCTCAGGCCTCAGCCTCCATCTTCAGTTGTCCAGACCGCAGCCACAACACCTCAGCAGTTTGAGAATGTCTGTGGTTGTAGTCAGTGCAGCTGGAGATATGTCTTGAAAGACATTAGACAATGTCTTAAAGAGGCCAGTAAGAGGAACAACAATTTTCAACAGCAGCTCATTGACTGAAATCAAGAAAAACATGTTGATTCAAAGTTTTTGATGGCCATGTGTTTGCTGAACCACCCAAGGCCTAAGACCCTATGAAATATCATAAGAATTCTTATGAGTTCTTCCAAGTGTTTCTGAAGTGAATGACTAATGGTTGATGGTTATTTTCAAACATAAACTTGTAAGTTTAGATATTATTAATATATAAAGTGTATATATTAAGGGTGATAGTAGCACAAATATTTGTACTTGATCTAGCCAATACAAACAGGTACAGACAAAAAAGTTTATTGCAAACATGTTTTATCAGCACTGTTCTATGTATACATATTTATGTATATTTGTATTTTTTCATTTTATTTCCTTTTCTTTTTAATTATTTCATTTTTTTTATTCATTTAAACAATAAAAGAGTAATAAAGAGAAGTACAATCAAAACCTTATATGCACTTGAATAAAGTTAAAGCAGGTGACCTCATAACTCTTCTTATGATGCACTTCGGGCTTTAAGATTACTCCAGAGCACTTGTAGATCTGCGATGATTTTCAAGTGCTACTTAAGTTACGATGCTTTTGGGAAACAGACCGTTATACTAAGATCAGTCATACCATCGTTTTTACGATCTACTTAGTCTTACGATGCATTTGAGAAACGCAGCCCTGCACAACATCTTGTAGGAGTTTTAGCCCCTCAGTAAAGAACCACTTCAACTCTGTGATGTTGGTGGGTTTCCTCATATGAACTGCTTGTTTCAGGTCCTTACACAACATTTCAGTTGGATTGAGGTCTGGACTTTGACTTGGCCATTCAAAAACATTAACTTTGTTCTTATTAAACCATTCTTTGGTAAAAAATACTTGTATGCTTGGGGTCGTTATCTTGCTCCATGACCTGCTTTCTCTTGAGATTCAGTTCTCGAAGAGATGTCTTGATGTTTTCCTTTAGAATTTGCTGCATTCAGAATTCATTGTTCCATCAATGATGGCAAGTCGTCCTGGCCCAGATTCAGCAAAACAAGGCCAAACCATGATACTAACACCATGTTTCAGAGTTTCTTATGCTGGAATGCAGTGTTTCCTTTCTCCAAACATAACACTTCTCATCTAAACCAAAAAGTTCTATTTTGGTCTCATCTGTCCACAAACCATTTCTCCAGTAGCCCTCTGGCTTGTCCACATGATCTTTAGCAAGCTGCAGACATTACATTACATATACATTTATTCATTTAGTAGACACTTTTATCCAAAGTGACTTACAATTGATGAATACAATAAGCGATTCGTCATTAAGAGGCAAATCAATTCAGGAAGTGCTTGTAATACAAATTTTCAGGCATCAGATTAGTACAAGCTAGACAGGGAGAGATTAAGGAGAAAGCAAAGTTTTGTTTTTTTTAAGTTGAAGTCAAATGGTGACAAAAGAGATGAGTTTTCAGGTGTCGCTTGAAAATTTTCAGGGATTCAGCATTCTGGATAGGGGAGGGAAGTTTGTTCCACCAGCCAGGAGCAATGAACGAAAAAGTTCTGGAAAGTGATTTTGTGCCTCTCTGTGATGGTACCACGAGGCATCGCTCACTCGTAGATCTCAGATTTCTGGAGGGGATGTAGTTCCTCAAAAGTGAGTGGAAGTAGGAGGCTGCTGAGCCTGTGGCAGTTCTATATGCAAGTATCAATGTCTTGAACTTGATGCGAGCTGCAACCAGGAGCCAGTGCAGGGAGATAAACAGAGGCGTGATGTCGGCCCTTTTGGGTTCGTTGAAGTCCAGGCGTGCCGCTGCATTCTGAATCATTTGTAAAGGTTTGACTGTGCATGATGGAAGTCCAGCCAGAAGAGCATTGCAGTAGTCCAGTCTAGAAATGACAAGGGCCTGGACAATAAGTTTTGCAGCATTCTCTGTTAGGAAGGGTCTGATCTTTCTGATTTTGTGCAATGCAAACCTGCAAGATCGAGCAGTTTTTGCAATGTGGTCTTTGAAAGTCAGCTGGTCATCGAAGATTACACCAAGATTTTTGACCAAACTTGATGGGCTAATTGTTGATGAACCTAACTGGATGGTGAAATCATGCACATCAGTTCATTCTTTGATTTCGTTTGAAGTATATCAGGGCCTGTAGTGTATATGGAGAAGAGGAGGGGTCCAAGAACTGATCCCTGAGGAACTCCAGTGACCAGTTGATGTGCTTTGGAAACCTCCCTTCCCCAGGTTACCTTGAAAGACTTACCAGTGAGATACCAGCGAACTAGCGAAGTGGAATCCCTGTGATGCGAGGTTGGACAGGAGGATCTGATGATTCACAGTGTCAAAAGCTATGATGTGACCCAGTGATG